CTCACACTGTCTTTCAGAAATAAATCTTAAAAAGTTTTTTTTAAGTGGCAAGAGAGCATAATTTGCTTAATATTGGTTTTTCACTATCACAGAAATGATTTATTCTGCATGTTGGCTTGGGAGCAAGGAGAAGCAAACAGGATAAGAATTGCTCATTCCAGCAAGGTGGGTGAGTGTGTGATTGCCTCGGTGAGTGTTGCTGTAACCAGAATAAGCCTGAGAACTACAGCTGGCTGACGTTCTCTGTGCATTCATCCTCAAAGAAAACGAGTCTGATGCCCAAACGTGATTAGGAGTGATTCAGCTTGTTACTTGAATCTCCTGGCAGACATCAACAGGGGTGTATTTCCTATGAGTTCTTCTGCATCTTCCTTTTTCCTGCCTCCGGTGTTCACATCTCTCGTGTTCTAGAGCCACGCTAAGCCTTTATTTCAAATCTTCACTATCCATCCTTCATGAGACTCATGTTGGTAAAAACACAAAACAAAATAAAACTGAGCCTTACTGATCTCCATGTTTCTTCTCCTCTCTTATCCTTCATCTCTATTTTTTGCTCTCAGCTGACTACATATTGGCCTTTCTGATGAAATTTCTCTCCACTTCTCCATGCATTTCTCTTCTCATTTGCCAAGTCTCTGTCAAGAATAGGCCAGGAGCAGAACTGGAGCACTCTAAATCTATATTTTTGAAGTTGGGGAGGGATTGAGGTCTAGTGGGAAGTCTAGAATGATGCAGAATTCTCTTTAATACCCTGGGGCAGGGTCAAAGGTAATGAACACTTACAAATTAATATACACATAATCTACATTTCTTTTTTTTTAAATTTTTTTAAATGTTTTATTTATTTCTAGGAGAGAGAGAGAGAGAGACAGCGTGAGCAGGGAAGGGTCAGAGAGAGAGGGAGACACAGACTCTGAAACAGGCTCCAGGCTCTGAGCTGGCAGTCAGCACAGAGCCCGACGCGGGGCTCGAACCCACGAACCGCGAGATCATGACCTAAGCGAAAGTCGGACGCTTAACCGACTAAGCCACCCAGGCGCCCCCATAATCTACATTTCTTACAGTTTGTTTTCATCTCTCCGAAAGAATGATTGCATTAGCAATGTGGACATAAGGGTGTGAAATGTGTGCTATGGGACCAGACATAGGGAAGTTAGTGGTAGGAGGTTGCTTACGTTTTGGTTCACACTCATACACATTTTCCCCTCATATTTTCTTCAAACATTTGAGTGCCTCTCTTGTGCCCAACATTGGTGCTACTGACCACACCACCTATATACTTTCATTATTATTATTTTACTTTTGAGATCTACTCTCCGAGCAAGTTTCAAATATGTGGTATAGTAGTATTAACTAGTGTAATGCTATATGTTACACCCTCATGACTTATATGCTCTCCTTAAATACTGGCTTGAAGTCCTGCTTTTGGAAGAAAATGTCTTCATTGAAAATACTGACTCACCCCATGGGGCCTCATTTTGAGGTGCTTATCTCTTTGCTTGAGAGGGTTTAATGTAGAGTCACTGTCTACTGCTGAGCACCACCTTGTGGATAAATAACGAGTTAAGACGGCATAACTGGCGTGTTGCAATGGTGTCTTGGCCAGGATTCTTGGATCAGTGTTCCTGCTCTGCTACCTACTGCCTGTGTGGCTGTACGCAGGCTGCCTACTTTGTATCCCAGTGTCTTCTGTAAAAGGAAATAATCTATCACTTCTGTGCTACCTGGTATTATAGTAAGCACACAGAACTATTCATCTGATGTCATTATAGGTAACAGTTTGAAAGCATTGTCAAACAAGACCAGATTTCTAGATAAGGAGAATCGTAATAACCAATATCAGTGCAATTACTAATAAGAAAATAATGGCTAGTATTCCCTGAATACCTAGCAGTAGCAGATGCCACTGTGTTCTTTGTGTGTGTATGCACTGAATTCTTTACAATCCTCACAATACTCCTTTGTACTGAACACTTTTATTATGCTCAGTTCATACATGAGGGAACTGGGACTCTGAGGTGACTGATTTGTCCAGAGTAACACATATCACAAAGGCAGAGTTGAAACCCAATCCAAATCTGTCACTAAACATGTCATCTTAACTGCTCTGACTGCTTGTGAGAGGATTAAGCAAGGGGATTTTTTTTTTTTTAGGGAGAAGACACTGTGTGTGTGTGTGTGTGTGTGTGTGTGTGTGTCTGCATGCACACATGTATTACACAAAAGGAGAGCAAGAGGAAGGAGAATGGTGGAGGAATGGTTGTCTTCAATCTGCTATATAACTGTCCTAGGGAAAGGGATATCATGATTTTTCCAAATGATCCCAGGCATTATAATATTTTGGGTGAATATGCTGCTGTCCATTTATACAGAGTAATTTCCTAATAGCCAGAATTGTTCAAATATGAAATTATCTGCCCTTGGAGACAATAAAGTCTCCATTATTAAAGATTTTTCCTTCTTTTTTCTTTAAATTTACATCCAAGTTAATCAATATATAGTATAATAATGACTTCAGGAACAGAAGTTACTGATTCATCCCTTACATATAACACCCAGTGCTCATCTGAACAAGTATCCTCCTTAATGCCCATTTAGCCCATCCCCCACCCAGAAGCCCTCCAGAAACCCTCCATTTGTTCTCTGTATTTAAGAGTCTCTTATGGTTTATCTCCTTCCCTGTTTTTATATTATTTTTGCTTCCCTTCCTTTAAGTTCATCTGTTTTGTATTTTAAATTCCACATATGAGTGAAGTCATATGATACTTGTCTTTCTCTGATTTATTTCACACAGCACTCTAGTTCCATCCACATTTTTTGCAAATGGCAAGATTTTGTTCTTTTTGATTGCCGAGTAATACTCCATTGTATTTATACCACATCTTCTTTATCCATTCATCAGTCAATGGGCATTTGAGCTCTTTCCATACTTCGGCTATTGTCAATAGTGCTGCTATAAACATTGGGGTGCATGTGCCCTTTTGAAACAGCACTCCTGTATCTTTTATTTAAATACTTAGTATAATTGCTGAGTTGTAGGGTAGTTCTGTTTTTAATTTTTTGAGAAACCTCCATACTGTTTTCCAGAGTGTCTGTACCAGTTTGCATTCCTACCAACACTGCAAAAGTGTTCCCCTTTCTCCACATCCTTGGCAATATCTGTTGTTTCCTGAGTTGTTAATTTTAGCCGTTCTGACAGGTGTGAGGTGGTATCTCATCATGAATTTGATTTGTATTTCTCTGATGATGAGTGATACTGAGTAACTTTTTCATGTGTCTGTTAGCCATCTGGATGTCTTCTTTGGAAAACTGTCTGTTCATGTCTTCTGCCCATTTCTTCACTGTATCATTTGGAGGTTTTTTGGGTGTTGAGTTTGATAAGTTCTTTACAGTTGTTAAATACTAACCCTTTGTCTGATATGTCATTTGCGAATATCTTCTCCCATTCTGTCAGTTGCCTTTTAGTTTTGTTGACTATTTCCTTCACTGTGCAGAAAGTTTTTTATCTTGATGAGGTAACAATAGTTGATTTTTGTTTTTGTGTCCGCTGCCTCTGGAGACGTGCCTAGTAAAAAATTGCTGTGGCCAAGGTCAAAGAGTTTGCTGCCTCTTTTGTCCTGTACAATTTTTGATGGTTTTCTTGTCTCTAGGTCTTTCATCCAGTTTGAGTTTATTTTTGTGTATGGTGTAAGAAAGTGGTAGAGGTTCATTCTTCTGCATGTCACTGTCCAGTTTTCCCAACATCACTTATTGAAGAGGGGAAAGTGAGTGAGGATTTACTTTCTTAACAATTTTTCTATAGATCATACAGCAGCATTAGCCCTAGTCATCATGTTGTACATTACATCCCTAGTACTTATCACATAACTACAACCTGTAGCTTTTGTCCACCTTCTTCAAATTCCTCCTCCCCTACCACCATCTTACCTTTTGTAAACACAAATATGATCCCTTTTTATAAACAAGTTTGATTGTTGTTGTTTAATTTTGGGTTTTTGTTTTTTTTTTTAGATTTCACATATAAGAAAGATCATACTGTATTCGTCTTTTCCAGTCTGACTCATTTCGTGAAACATAATACTCTTAGAGTCCAACTATGTTGTTGCAGATGACTGGATTTCCTCATTTTATGGCTGAATAATATTTCATTGTTTATATATACCACAATTTCTTTACCATCTCATCTATCAGTGGACACTTAGGTTGTTTTCATCTCTTGGCTGTTGTAAATAATACTGCTATGAACATAGGAATGCAGGTATCTTTCAAGTTGGTGTTTTTGTGTCCTTAAGATATATTGCCAGAAGTGGAATTTTTTAATCACATGCTAGTTCTATTTTTAATTTTTTTTTTATTTATTTCTAGGGGAGAGAGAGAGAGAGAGAGAGAGAGAGCGAGCATGAGCAGGGGAGGGTCAGAGAGAGAGGGAGACACAGACTCTGAAATAGGCTCCAGGCTCTGAGCTGGCTGTCAGCACAGAGCCCGACGGGGGCTCGAACCCACGAACCGCGAGATCATGACCTAAGCGAAAGTCTGACGTTTAACCGACTAAGCCACCCAGGCGCCCCTATTTTTAATTTTTTAAGGATCCTCCATGCTGTTTTCCATAGTGGCTGCACCAGTTTACATTGCACCAATAATCAGCACCTTTTTAATGTACTTGACATCCATTTGTACTTGGTTCATGTACTTCCTTGGAGAAATGTCTATTTAAATCCATTGCCCCTTTTAAAAGATGTGCTTGTTTATCTTTTTGTTGTTGAGTGTGACCGTTATTCACATATTCTAGATAATAGTCCCTTATCAGATACAGTTGACTCTCATTGTCTACAGATTCTATATTGTGAATTTCCCTACCTGCTAAAATTTATTTACAACTCAAAAATCATTATGGTTTTGTCATCATTTGAAGACATGTAGAAAAGTGAAAAATTTAGTTGCCAGAGGCACACATTCCCAGCTAAGGTAGAATAAGGTGGCACTCTACCTTCTTATTCCAGCTGTCACACAGAGATGAACACAGGATGAAGATGGCCGGGGCAGTGCAGTGTCACATGTGAAGTCCAGCTCTTGGGCCTGTTGGACGGGTTTTAATCCCAATGCTGGTATCCCTCAGTAGTGTGGTCTCAGGTAAGTCACTTCACTCTTCTGAGCCTTGTTTTCTCTCATGTAAAATTAAGAACAAATGAATGCCAGGATGAATTGTTTTTAGGATTTATGATTATAATCTATGTGATTATATCCCTTCTCTCTATATCCCTCCATGTACATTCCTAGGAGCCGTGTTTCAGTTTTTGCCAATACAGTCTTTGCAGTGATTTGTAGAATATAAATATCACAGATAGCAAGAATAGACTACTTGATTTACAAATATTTTCTCCCATTTGTTAGGTCTTGTCACTTATTTGATAGTGTCCTTTGATACATAAACATTTTTAATTTTGATGAAGTCCAAACTGTCCATTCTTTATTTTGTGGCTAATGTCTACAATTCTAACTTTTGACGGGGAGTGGTTTTGCTTAGTTTAATCACAGATGAAGGAATTACGCTTTATTCCCATTCACTGATAATTAGCTGTAGAAGTGCTTAGAAGAGGTTAATTGATTTACCCTAATGAAGGGCAGAGTTGAGAATCCAACTGACACCTGATGTTAAAACCTGTAATCTTACCTGCTCTAATTATGCAGAGAAGGGATCATTATGGTGAACTAAAGAAAACACCTAAAGGTGATCAACTTTCTCTCAAAGAGTGGGTAGTATTCAGATAAAGAGGAGAAAGGAAGTAGTTTTCTTTGTGGGGATTCTTGTTTGTAGAAAGTGTGTGAAATTACAGCAGATCTCTAGAAATAATGACAAAGCCTTACCACCTCAACTTCTTTTTCTGGGTATTCTACTCCACTGCCTTAGGTCTTAATTAGAAGTCCCTAATGCTTAGTAGGAGTTGGCTGTTGTGATTACTAATTATGGACACAAGAGGGCGCCAAAAGATCTCAGTTCCTCTGGTTCCTTAGGCCCAGCTGTAGGAAATTAATGTTACCCTCTATTGCTGTTTCTATTTACAAAAAAAAGAATTTAGATTACAAAGCTCAGGAAAATCTGAGTAGAACTGATGACAATAAATCCTGGTATACAAATGTTTAGATTTCAAGATTGACTGAAGTCTAGTTCCAGAGTTGATGATTTGGCACCATTTTAAATGAATGTAGTAGAATTTCAGAGCTAGAAAGAATATTTGAAATTACCTTTCCTTTTCTTGCTCCCTGCTCCCTTTCCTCCCTCTTTTCCTCCTTTCTTCCTGGCAATCTTTCCAGTTTGGAAAAGAAAACAAGCTATAAGCAGAGCTGTTCTTCTATACAGATGATGTATACACAAAAAAATCTAAATAACATGAACAAATATTTTTGAAAACTGCTGGAGTGTCATCCTACTCTTTCACATGTGGGAAAAATTAAATCAAGAGAGGAAGAACTGATTGTTCAAGGTCTCAAAGCAAGTTATTGGCAAAGTCTGTTGCAAGTTCCAACTCTTTTCACTACATCATTTTACAAACATGCCCGCTGGTCTTTTGCTGCCCTCTAGGCTGGGATTTCTGAAGTAAGGCTCACCTGTGGGGACTTCAGATTTACTCTGTCACTAGACATATTACTATGTAATACATTAAAGAAACAGTATCGTAGTCTTGTTATGGGTCTTGGATGTTTTGGCCACCTGTGTGCTCTTTGAGTTCTAGGGAGAGGCTGAAGATTACCCTGAATTGGCCCCAAATATTTTTTCTGAGCTTGAAGATATCACATAGACAGATGTAGGAGAAATCTGCACATGCACTGCATGGTACAGACATCCTTTGCTTTAGGCGTGTGGTGCCAGGAACGAAGAGATTGGACACGTTTCTGTAGCTGATTGGGGCTTGGTTGGAATCCCTGGTTGGAATGACACAACCTATTTAGGAAAGTCACAGTCAGGAGGGACACACAAAACTTGTGCACATCCAAAAGAAGGTCCAAGCTCATGAAAAATAGGAAAGGCCAAGTCTATGAAGAAGATTAGAAGAAACTACTACTTAGTAGTAGCTCAGAGATAACTCAGGTACAAATTAATTATCTTCAAGTACCCAAATGACTACGCTGAGAAAGGAGGAACTTAGCTGCTTCATAAGCTCACAACTAGGACCGATGGGTAGAATTTGGCAGAATTTAGAGCTGGGCTTCCTAGTCAGGGCTATATGATGATACACTGGATGCCATAGAGACTTGGACATCACACATATGTGTGTATGGTTCCATACATATTGCATATATGATCCTGGGAATGGAGGTGATACAGCAGAGTAATATTTTGCAATATTGGGTAGATAGTTCTTTTTTCCCCTTCCCACGTGCTCTTCTATGTCATGTTCTCACTGCCAGCTTATGCTGTCAGGATTTTGAAAGTAAACACTAAGAGAGTAGTTTGAGAGAAAGGATTTTTAGTACTCAGAGTCTGGCTTTTAGAATCAGAGGCCAGAATGTCTGAAAGGAATCAAAACGTAAGTCTATACTAAGACAATAGGTTTGGAAACGTAGAGTAGGAGTTGCACTGCACCAAATAAAAATTCCATGGGCTACAGCTTAAGCTGTGAAGGAAGGGAGGATATTGGTGGAAGCCAGCCTTCCTGGAGCTCAACATGCCAGAAGGAATCGGGACAGAGCAGTGGAATCAGCACTAAGACTATTAACTACCGATAGGAAAACATCATGTATCACAAGGTGGGAACGAAATTTTTAATGCAGATCATGGGACCACATTAGGCAATGGCATCAGTGTTGTAACTCACCGGTGCCAAAGAGCTATCTATATTAGCTGTCCTCATTGCCTCCTTATGAAGACCTCTACGGACACAGCAGCAGAGCGCGACTCTTTGTTCTACTCAGACTACCAGCTCTTTGGGACCCATGATTTGCTCAGCCCCATCCAACTTGGCTGTATGGAAAAAGCTTCGGTTTGCTTTTTGTTTGATATATTCTAAGGCCCAGTTGAAACGCCAGGAGGTCTTCTGAATAGTGAAAGGAAGAATGCTTATATAGAAGGGCAGTCTCAATTCTGTGCCTTAGTAGACAAGTAGAACTGGCATGAGAGATCCAGCCTGCTCCTCTCCAGTCTCACTCAAAAGAGTAGTTTCAGCTACAGGCTAATCATTTTTCTACCCTTCCCATTCACTTACAGCTAATTGTCTCCATCTTCTTTTTCTGTTGTAGATTATAAGCCTAATCATTTTGTAAATCTGTTCCAAAGTTAAATTAGATATAATGCATAAAACATTTTACATTTAAGATATTAGCATATTGATTTTCTTAGAATATGTTCACTAGATGGAAGCTGTTATTATTCTTCAAGAGATGATGAGATCATAATCCCTTTAGATCTTCTTGTGCAACTGAGTGACTATTTGCTGTTCGTGTGGGAAAGGTTATTGTAATTTCTGAATGTGATAGTGGTAAGTGATTTTTCAGCTTAGATTCAGTATTTTTCAACCGCCTATTTATGGGCTACAATAGGCTGGCTGTATCAGAATAACTTTTGGGATAACTGTTTTTTTTAAGATTTTATTTTTAAGTAATCTCTACACCCAGTGTGGAGCTCAAACTTACAACCCCAGGATCAAGACTCACATGCTCTATTGACTGAGTCAGACAGGTGGCCCAACCTGAGATAGCTTAAAATATATGTAAGTCTGGGCTCAAATCCAGGTACATTAGTAGATCTAGAGAAGGGTTCAAGATTCTGTGTTATTAACAAGCTGCTTCTTTCTGGAAGGTTTCAGGAATCATCTATTTTCTTGCCTTTTTCAGCTTCTGTCACATTCTTTGGTTCATGGCCCTGCATCACTACAGCCTCTGCCTCCATTGTCACATCTCCCTTTCTGACTCTGACCCTCTACCTTCCTCTTATAAGGACCTTTGTGATTACACTGGGCCCTCCAGGAAAATCCAGGAAAATCTTTTTCTCTCAATTATTAACTTAATCATATCTGGAAAGTCTCCTTTGCCATATAAAGTAACACATAAGGTAAGACAGGGGCAGGTCTGGGACTTAGAATATGGACATCTTGAGGAAGTCATTATTCTGTCATTGATGGTAACCTGCTGTTTCTTTTCTTCTTATTCTTCTTTTTTTGGACTGTCAAATACAGAGAAGAATCCCTAGATGATTTCATTCATTCCTACCTAAATCCCCATCTGAGAGGTTTTTTTCTTGTACACCCTAAGTACCAATTTCATTGGCTCTCCAAGTGTCCGAGGAAGCCACTGAAGAGTTGACAATTCTAAGGTAAGATGAATGGGAACAGGACAAGCTTAAGGGTGAGGGTGTAAATGCTTTCACTCTCTCCAGATGATCAGTGGGCTAGACATTAACTTCTGTCAAAGAGGGGACTTCCTCATAGATCCTCCCCATAGACAACATAAGACTTCATGTCTGAAGGCACTAGCCTCTGTGCCTGGGCCTTGGCTATAGGTAAGGCACACAAGTGGACACTGAGCATTCCTTGGATGTTACTTCAATAGTGTCTTCTTAGTCTCTCTGGCTGTGTCCCCTCATTCTTTGTCCAACTAATCTCTGCATCTCCCCTATCTATTTTCTCTTGGCCTTGGAGATCTATCCTTTATCAAAGGTAGGAAAATGTTATCATTCATGTCATGACAATATCATATATTCTTTCAAAATCTCATGTGTCATAATAGGTGGGTTGCTAAACTTAAATGCTAACAATTGAATCTCTGTTTTTTCTGCCTTCTGCTGTCAATTCATCTCTAAAACAATGATGAAGACTTCTTAGGACTGAATGAGGGAAAGGATTGAAGCAAATTCTAGAAACAGAAGCATATTAATTAACATTTCAAAATATCCATCTTCATGATGTTTAAGATTCATGGTGTTTGAATTGTGAAGATATAATTTCACTAAGTCCATAACTAGTGCCTGTTCTACTATACCACACCCTTTTGTGCTGTCTTTAGCTTTTTCACTTCAGTAATTTGTTCAATAACTTCAAGACCTTGGATTTCCTAACTGGCAATGGCCTATTCCATCTCCACCAATACACCTCCCACAGTTATTAAATCTCTACTCTCACTTTGTGATGAGAGCATCC